AATGTTCTATAAAAAAAATAAACTCCTACGTAGGAGATAAAAAAGCCTAATTAGGACTTTATAAGTCCTACGTAGGACTTTCTAACTCCTACGTAGGACTTTATAACTCCTACGTAGGAGATAAAAAAGCCTAATTGGGAGTTTATAACTCATACGTAGGACTTTTTAACTCCTACATAGAACTTTATAACTCCTACGTAGGAGATAAAAAGCCTAATTAGGACTTTATAACTCCTACGTAGGACTTTAAATCTCCTACGTAGTGTAACTTTGTAATGTAGGATACATATCAAAGTACTGAAAGCACAAAATTCGACGGACAAGTATGCTAGAGTATAAATTAAGAAAGCATTATATGTAGGAAAATAAATTATATGTGTCAAGTTGTAATTGTGGCAAGCCGCTTTAGTAAATACCCTTAGTCTGTAGCCAGAGATGATTTTGTCATAATCTGCATATATTAAACGATGATTCTGTGTTATGTACGTTTAGTTATATTGATTATACACATGTACACAAAATGGTATGGGTTAAACTTTGTTCAAAGAAGGATATAATTCATTATTAAACATATGCATGCATAATGCTTCGTAAACCGTTTTGTTTTTAAACTTTACGGAGCAGGAACAAGACACTTCAATACTCCCCCTGCCCCCTATAAGGATTTAATCATATTTGAAACGGCCGAAAATGGATAAATTGCTCGTTTTGTTCAGCTTGTTCGTATGGAAAAAGTAATTGTTAAAGCCTTTTAAAATTTTGATATATTCATATTTTAGAAATGCTTGTTGTCGAGTAAATGTTTCGAATAGCTGTAAAGATATTTTTCGGAATATATCGCCAATGCTTACAGACACCTCACCCTAAGACACTGTACACTCTAGAAACCTGAGACACTTTATTAAAAGGTGAAGTGTGACGGCATGGCCATGTGACTGGTAACCCTATGATCGCTAGCCGCATGGGTTCAAACCCCATTAGGCGAAAGCCGTTGTTTCCTTGAGCAAGAAACTTTACACTCATTGCTCAGTACGTACTGGTTGGTTCCAAGAACGGATTCGAAAGTGTGTCTAAAAGCTCATAGCTTCCTACACAATCAAACTTAAATAAATTCTGTATAAACCAAAGTGAAATGTCCTCTATATTTAAAATTTGAAATTTCGGCCGGGGGGGGTTTAAGTGTCTCGTTCCATCGTCGATATATCGGTCCGGAATGTTGAGATTTTGAAAAGTATTCTGTATGCATTTCTTATAAAGTCATAAAGTCCTACGTAGTAGATACAAACTCTAATTAGGATTTTTTATCTCCTACGTAGGAGTTATAAAGTCCTACGTAGGAGTTAAAAAGTCCTAAGTAGGAGTTAAAAAGTCCTACGTAGGAGTTTAAAAGTCCTACGTAGTAATAATAAAGTCCTAATTAGGCTTTTTTATCTCCTACGTAGGAGTTATTAAGTCCTACGAAGGACTTATAAAGTCCTACGAAGGACTTATAAACTCCTTTGTAGGACTTATAAACTCCTACGTAGGAGTTATAAAAACCTACGTAGGACTTTATAAGTCCTACGTAGGAGTTACAAACTCCTTATTAGGCTTTTTAATCTCTTACGTAGGAGTTATAAAGTCCTACGTAGGACTTATAAACTTTATAAGTAAGTCCTACGTAGGAGTTACAAACTCCTAATTAGGCTTTTTTATCTCCTACGTAGGAGTTTATTTTTTTATAGAACATTATGAATAGAAACCGGGACGCTTCCGAAAGTTATACTTTAGCATACATGTCCGTCGAACACTGTGCTTTCAGTACTTTGATATGTATTCTACGTAGGAGTTATAAAGTCCGACGTAGGAGTTATAAAGTCCTACGTAGGAGTTATATAGTCCTACGTATACGTTACAAAGTCCTACGTAGGACTTATAAAGGCCTACGTAGGAGTTCTAAAGTCCTACGTAGGAGTTACAAAGTCCTACGTATGACTTATAAAGTCCTACTTAGGTGTTATATAGTCCAACGTAAGAGTTAAAAAGTCCTACGTAGGAGTTTAAAAGTCCTTCGTAGGAGTTAAAAAGTCCTACTTAGGAGTTTAAAAGTCCTACGTAGGAGTTATATACTTCTAATTAGGCTTTTTTTTTATCTCCTACGTAGGAGTTTTAAAGTCCTACGTAGGAGTTATAAACTCCTACGTAGGACTTATAAAGTCCTATGTAGGAGTTTAAAAGTCCTACGTAGGTGTTATAAACTCCTAATTAGGCTTTTTTATCTCCTACGGAGGAGTTTATTTTTTTATAGAATATTATGAATTGGCACCAGGACGCTTCCGTATTAAATTGTGCATGTTTAATCACAAAATGTTGTAAAAATATTTCACAACCTCGGAATGAATTCTTTTGAAATGCAAACAAGCATTGAATACACATATGTTTTTGAATAGTTTAAAGTCGGTTAAATTTAAAAAGAAAGTACATTTTAAAGTTTATAAAATTCCTGTTTGATAGCTACTGTATATTATATCAGTTAAAAATAAATTACAACAATAAGGTTTAAAAACCTTTAAACTAAAACTACCTGTATTTTCTGTATATTACTCTAACCCCACTAAATATCTTGAATGGACTTTCCCATCTTTCAATCTAGACATTACCATTCATCGATTTTAGGGACATTGATGAATAAGTTGAATTATGAGATGACACATGTATGTCGGCTAATCTTGGTCTGCACGCATGAGCAGATAATAAATCAGCGTGAGAAAACATAATCACATTACACATGTTACCCATAACCGACTTTAAATAAAGTTTATCTTACTGTCTTAACAAGGAAGTAATACTGATATCAAATTTCATGAAACCTGGGCCGGGATTCGTTGAATGATATATAGCGACAGCCAAATATTTACAAATATAGAGGACATTGTTACAAATATAGGAGAAGACAATTTTCAACAAGTGAAAAGTTTTACGGAAAAAAATTATTCAGGTAAAGCATTTTTAACTTGTATATTTTAGAACTAAAATGATCAGACTTCAAATACATAAATTGCTTTGATTTATTTGTTTTTTGTTTTGTTAACATAGGTTTTGTCCTTGTTTAGGTGCAGTACAGTTGCAACTTATTAAATCTAAGGAACTACTATAGGCTGATATTAAATAATAATAATGGAATGGCACAAAAAATTGGCTGCTATCACGTGATTTATAAACAAGTGCTTGACTTTATTGTTTTCTCGTTGTTTTCTCGTTTAGGGCACACATTTTATTACTTGGGGACCAAACGCCGCTTTTCATGGAATGGCACGGAAGTGTCACATTGAAGGTTCCATGATAACCGCCGTATGAACACATCTGCGGATGTTTCTAAATTCAAAATTTTACTATTACATGTTTAAATGTTGAATTCTGCTTAAGCCGGTACTAGGGGGCGTGGACGGTAACTTGCACTTTCCAGTACCGTCCATGAACAGGCTCAATCAAACCGATCCTGCAACATTTTCAATTTTGCCGTGTTGGGCTTTCTTTAGGGATTCTGTATTTATCTATTTTATTTCTATGTTTATATGAAATCCTGATAGTAGGTGAGAGTAATGTTTCTCACCTTGTTTTTGGAGTCACATCTTTTATTAATTTTTGAGCTTATAATCATTTTAACTATATTCATGAAAGTTTAAATACATTTAATGATAAGAATCATCAATACCACACTTTCCCCCACCCACCCCCAGCTTTTCACCCTTAAACTTGCAAAGACAAAGATATATCTGGACATTGGTTCTTGTTGCTGGGTCATGTGGGGGTTGCGTTCATTGAACGCCGCCTTTCCTTGTTGATCTTGTTTATCATATTTTGAGAATATGATATCCATTTTTCAATTTGGAATTTCTGCTATGTTTTGTTTTACCCCACCAAACTGTTTCAGTATGACCATCACCAAACTTTCAAACAACAGTTCATAACTATTATTATGGAATTCGATAAAATTAAGCCCCTTTTTAGTAAAAATAACTTTCTTTTCAATATTCTAAAATGATAATATTTAATTGTGACCTTTACCTGACAGTATACAACCCTATCATGAATGTTGTAATAATAATTTGACTATAAATAAATGTTTGTCAAGGACCTATTTGAATTTCTCTCTTGAGAAAGGTCGAATTCTCGGTGTGAATAATTAACCCATTAATTTTGATATAAGATTAGTTGTTTTACTCTTGTCTTGCCAACTTATTTCTAAAACACTGCATAGAGGAACTGTTTATGTCTTCCTTGACCAGTAAAGCTAGAAATCTGTCATAAGACATTAATGTTGCTTATGTGATGTATATCCCAACTAAACAATATCACAGGCTAGCATAAATGTTTGTATTTACAGTTTGTTTCTTTCTTTATATTGTACTATCAGAGTGACATGCTATGGTAAAGAGAAACAAATGGACACGTGAACAATAAATACTCAACTTGTTTATACTAAATTTTAGGTAAACATGGCAGTCCCAGGAAAGAAAGGATCAAAACAGTTTTCATCATCGACAACATCCATGGCATCAGATGAAGATCTTCAAGTTTACTGCCAGCCTTGTGACGAGGAAGGAACCAGACAACCTGCCCTTGGTTACTGCACTGACTGCAGGGAACACCTTTGCAAGACATGCTTAACAGTCCACAAAAAACTTAAATCTTCCAAACACCATACAGTTCTAGATGCTACAAGTATGCCTAAAATTTTGAACCAACCCTCAACATCCATCCGCGCAGGCTAGTCTGATGATCTTACAACACCCTGTTGTAAACATCCACAAGAAATGATCAAGTTCTACTGCAATGACCATAAAAAATTACTTTGCAGTGTTTGTGTTACCCTTGAACACCAACCTTCTTCCTGCAAAGTTGATTATATACCTGATATTTCTTGTTATATAATTGACAGCAAAGAATTTCAAATTATCTTGAAAACACTTAATACCACTTTTGATCACTATCAACAGGTGGTAAAAGATGTCAAGGAAATGACGGGGAAATCTAACAGATCACTAAAAGATGCACTAGAAGATATTAAAATGTTTCGAATAGAAATAAACCAGAGACTTGATGAACTGGAGAGACAGGTTGTGCATGTAGTCAAGGTCGCAGAACAAGAAAATAACTCAAATATTACAGCAGTAGAAACATCGTGTAAAGAAGTTACCAATTCCTTGAAGATATCCTCAGAAAAAATCAAACAGCTCAACACATCAAAACAAGCTAATACACTCTTTATGGAGCTTAAGCTTGCAGAAAAAATAATGAAAGATGTTGAGAAAACTGCACTACAGCTTTCATCATATGATGTCAAAGAGCACCACTTTCAAGCAAATGAAAAAGTATTAACCAAGCTTAAAACAGAGAGGTCATTAGGTACATTGACACATAATACCTTAAATAAAGAATGTCAACCTTTACAAATAAAGTCTAGACAATCTTCACATGAGAGAAAAATCTGTGTGAAGACATCAAAAGATAAAAGAACATGCGATATAACAGGAATGGCTCTGCTGACTCCTGATCTTGTTATCATCACTGACTGCAAGAACAAGGCTGTAAAGATGGTGGATACCAGCAGTCAATCTGTGTCTGATCAACTACAGCTGGATGATCAACCATGGGATATCACGAGAGTAACCAGTACTGAAGTTGCAGTCACGCTTCCTAAGAAACAGACAATACAGTTTATATCAATTTCATCAAACAAACTTATAAAGAAGCACAATGTGAAGGTTGATGGTATCTGTGATGGTATAAGCTGTTACCAAGGTAAACATGTTGTGTCATTCGTTACCCCTGCAAAACTTCAGATCCTTGATATGAATGGCACTATACTGACAACAATTGATGGAAAAAATATTTTCAAAAGTCCAGATTATATAACATGTAACAGAAGTTCAATCTATGTATCTGACTGGGAGATGAAGACAGTAACAAGATTAAACTGGCAAGGTGATGTGATAGGTAGTTATGGTGGTATGATTTATCCTTGTGGAATGTATCTGTCAAATGATGGTACTGTCTTTGTGTGTGATAAGGAGAGAAATATTATAGAAGAGATATCAGGAGACTGTTCTACAGGAAAAGTTGTGTTGGAGAATCTGAATTATCCCAATACTGTTTGTTGGTGTGGTGAAACAAAGAAGCTATATTATAGTTGTGACATTTTGGATGAAAATAATGCCAACTTTCTATACATTTATGAACTGTCATAAAACTTACACCAATGCATTATAGGAAAGGTGAAAAAATATTATATATTGTTAAGTTTGCATTCTAGCGGCTGAAAACAACCAATTTGCATTTTCCTTTTTCTACAAAGAAAGAGAAACTAAACCTACAAACATCTGGTATCAGTCGTTTCTCACGCTATGCCAAAGAAGGAACCAGCATTAATCGTGTCATGTTAAGAAAAAAAATAATGATTTTTCCTTTTTTTAATCACTGCATATAGACCATCTACTATAGAAAAATTAAGCATGATATTCGAAATTTAATGCGAAACTATTATACAAAATAATTACGTACAATAGTTTTGCATTAGACAATTTCAGGAAAATTAAAAAAAAGAATTGTAATATATACACTTATAATTATTCAGACGAAAGTGACCGATATTCCTATCTATGTTAATGACCAGTCATCTCACTTCAGTAAAATCTTACATGTGCAAAATATAGCAGACATTTTTATGTGAAATTTATGCGAAATAAAAGCATCTGTAATATAAGTTTCCGATGAAAGTCATAAAATTATAATACTTTCTATCAGGAAGAGATTGAAATCAATGAGTCTGGACGTTTTTCCATTATCTTTTCATCCTTCCGGAATCAAATATTACACCTTGCTCTTTTGGAGAGATTTTGAAGAGAAAAACTGATGAATGTTTCGGTAAATACATGTATTTCAAGCACTACGATATTTTTGTTCATAAGAAAATATAATGTTTATAGCTATATTTAATGAACGTAAATTGTAAATAAGATTGCATCAAAATAGTGCATAAAAGAACAACCAAAATGACAAAATTGAAAATGTTGCATGCTCGGTTTGATTGAGCCTGTTCATGGATGGTTAGCGTCCATGTTACCCAGCATCGGCTTAAGTAGAATTGAAAAAAAATGGCAGAGAAATATCATATTCAAGTCTATACTATTATTCATAATAATACAAGTTTTCTTTGATTGTTAGTTTGTATTAATAAGTATTGTAATGTACTGTCTCTATAGTATAATATACACTAGCACATGGAATAGGATAAAATACAGAATAATATGTAGAATAATGATATAAAAATGTATCAATATCAGCATGTTTGTTTACTTCCTAAATTGTTTAATGGTCCTTAATATTCCATTTCAATTTTTAGATAAATAATCCAATGTAATATTAATGACAAATACATACAAATTAAGCAAATTTTATTTATTTACTTATTGGTTTAGTAAAAAGGCAAATTTTCAATTCATTTAAAATGCTTTTTAATTTCAATGACGTCACATTTTCACTAGTTTACACAATCATCATAATATATCTACCTGGAAAATCTACCAACAGTACCTAGGATTCTTCAGAGGCTTTCTTCACAGGGCTAAGACCATTTCTGATCAAATAGATTCTATGTCTAGTAGAATCAGAGAAAAGAATATCCTGATTTAATGAAAATATCGTCTGTCTGATACAATCTCTATCAAACTAAATATAAAACTTAACTATTAATCGTCTTGTGGTTTTTGTTAATACATGATTGCCTGTTCTTGCAAAAGCGACAAAACTAAGAACTTACCGAATATTTAAAGACAGCTTTAAATGCGAAGACTATGTATTGTTGAACTTAAACAAGAACGAAAGATCGATACTGTGTCAATTTAGAACTGGTATTCTACCGTTAAGAATTGAAACAGGACGTTACATTGGAGAACAGCCTGATCAGAGATTATGTAGACTTTGTACCTCGAATCGTGTAGAAGACGAGAAACACTTCCTTTTTCAGTGTGAACAGTATAAAGACTTGCGTGAAAATACGTTCAGAACTCTTTTTGATTTCGTTAACGATCCTCTCATGGACATGAATCAGAGACTATCTCATATTGTTTCAAACTACCCTAGAAAACTTGCAAAATTTCTTATATCCGCATACCTTAAAAGAAGAAGTGTCTTGTTCTCTTAGTAATCAATTAACCTTGATAACTAATTTTGACTTAAACCATTATATACATATAGTTTTGTATATGTAATTAAAATGAACCCATTTTGCAATGAATGTGTGTATAATATAATTATGTAATATTGTAATTCAAAGTTTTCTTTGTTTCACTATATGTCTGTGTCCGTACTATTATTGAAACCATACCTCTTTTTATATACATATACACGATATATTTAACGCAAGTTCAGTAACGTAATATTGTTGTTATTCGAATATTAAATAGTGTGATCACTCTTTCACCAGTTCAGTAACACATTCTAAGTGATATAAACTTTCAAAAGTAAATTGTTTTCCAAATCCCAACCTTCTCAGTAACGAGTGTTGTATATGTAATTTAAATGTATATAATGCTATGTACTTGAATAATGTATATATATGTATTATGATAATTACAATATTTGTAATATGTCGCCTAAATTATATATGTATAATAATAAGCACAATAATTGTAATATGCCGCTCAAAGTACCTTTACATAGTAACTAATTAGTTGTTGATATTTGATAACGTAAGAAAATATATTACCAGTATTTTGTACATGTACTTCAGATCATCAAATGTATAAAAGAAGTAACTTTATTGAATTATGTAAATAATGACATCATTGATTTCCCGGTGACATATAGGCCCAAAGGGCCGGGTGCCTTTTCTTTCATCTGTATATTATGTATCTATGTCATTTATGCACATGTCACGATAATAAACTATATCTTATCTTATCTTATCTTATATTCCGGGCAAGAACATTATTTGCACAACGAAATTGTTTTATGATACATATTTTGGATATTTGAATATAGCTAAAGTGCATAATATTATAACATTAAAATACGAATAAAATAGTGTTGCACTTGTTAACTTATTCTCTTGTCACAAAAAGGATCTTAGTACATAGAAAATTAATTCTAGATATATTTCTAGATCCATATATATTTCATTATTAATTTAAAATATTTATTTATACAATAATTTAACATATGTTGAACTTATTCTCTTGTCACATAAAAATCTTACATAAAAATCTTGATAAAAGTAAAAGATGTTCAAACACATCTTAGACATTTGATCGATTCCAACTTTACAATGCTCAACATTTCTAATTTTCTAAATAAAAAGTAGAAAAGGTACAAATAAACAACTAACAACTTTTTAAATGGATCTGTGTCAAACAAAACTCTTAGAAAGAGTCTATTTCTCTCCAAATAGTGAATAAATCATTTCTTTAGCTTAAAATTCAGTATGTTTTAATATGCTCAGTTGAAGTCAATGAATAATGCCTTTACCATATATAATTCTATTGTATTTGCATTTCATAAACAGAAAGCAGAATTTTATTACTTGGCTTAGATTTGATATAAAAAACTGTATTTTTAATGAATAATAAATGTTATTATTTGTAATAATTAATAAATGTGTTCTTGTTTGTACATTTGTAAGTACGAAATATTTATAAACATACTTAACACCTTTATGTTCAATTGTTAGACAAAAAAGAGTGCTGAGCATTCTGTTGGCGTGAATGTTATAAAAAGACCTTTATTTTCATTTTTTTTTTGTTTTTCGTAAAAGCAATTTCATGGAGAAAACAAACGAGAAGGATATCATATAAATGAATTCTATATGTGTCCGGAAATCAGGTCAATGTCATCTATGCCGATGTTGTAAAGTGGAAAAAATTGAGTACATACTGTCTCGGAAGTGTGTTTAAAACTATTAATGAAGTAGAAATGTCTGAGGGCAATCTCAATCTTCTGTAGAGTTAACAAAAAGTCTGATGAAAATCATTTGTTTTTCTGACTAATCATTTTAACATCTCAAATGCTACCGTAGTCAAGGTTTTTCTCTGAAATACTCTAGGGACAAATGATCTTTGATACGGCATTTTTTCACATTGTTTTCATTAGAAATAAAAGCTTTCTAAAACGTTAAAGATACTTAAATGTGACAGATAATTGAAATAAAACCGAGGATATTACAAATATCATCAGACAGTTGTACATGTATAAAATACCTCAATTAAGCTCTACTAAAAATGTCGCCTGCATGCTACAAGCCTAAGCAATACTAAAGTACAACGTTTTCTTATAATTGTGTTAAATAAAAAATACCCTAATAAAATGTAACATTTCTTGTAAAAAATTAACCTCGACATGTTGTTAATACCATGATGAATGTCAATAGAATTCGATGTTGTTCAAATTATTTGTACTGTACATCAAATATGTTATATTCAACAAGCCCGACACAGTTTGGAGTAACGACGAAGATGTGTACTAAAGTCCGTAAGCCTCTAGTACAAAGAGATGGCTTATACGGTGTCAACAACAGCCCTTAGCAGTGATAATCTAATAATGTTTAAAATTGTGTGTATACTGTACCTCTCGAAATCAGAACTGTGTGGTTAAATTATTATTAATAATCAAAATGAAACGATGTTCCAAACACATGTTATGACTTCATTGGAGCTAGTTCAACGCCACACATCTTAATAATGTATTTGTTAAAGGGAGAATACTCTGGAATTACTAGTTAAACATGTATTAAAGGGATAGTATCCATTACTGACTATTTAGTTATGTCATATTTTAATGCAGTACAAGTCCTACATTCTCTATATTCTAACTAAATATACATTAATTCAGACTTTTTTGTATTATTAAAGTGATTATCTTGCCCGTGGTCTGCCTTGTGCCCTGTCCTGATTTTTGTTTGGGGTCCTCCTGGGCTCCTGGCCGCTGGTCCATATTGCTGGGTCGTGTGGGGGATTGCGTCCATTGAACGCCGCCTTTCTTAGTTAACCTTGTTTATCATATTTTATATATTCGTAACTGTGTAAAAGATATTTTGTAAGAATTTCAAAGAAAAATTAATTGATACTGAATATTTATTTACATGACTACTGGCCACGGAACAATAATATTGCTTTCGTGCTGACAATATTATGTTTAATATTACAATGCAAACATGTCAGAAGTCGGAGAATTTCCCGGGATAATTAAAACAATA